CACTGATGTTGTTACCTATCTGGGCAATGAAACGCCTGCAAGAAAACCACCAAGCTCAGAGAAGCACCCAGGACCCCTCATTTCAACCCTGAGCTCCTTTATTCTCCTTTATCCGTGCTACAAGAGTCCTCCTGCTCTGGAACAACCACAGCCTAACACAGCCCTGCTCTTCCGAGGCTGCAAGTAACACAATAAGAGACTTTCAAATCCAGCTCTTCAGACTGATCGATCTAAGGCAAAAAAAAACAGATGGCCTGGCATTATTTCCTGCCCCCCAAAAAATCCAGCCGTGAAACTGAGCCTCATGAAGACTTTTGTTGGTGGTTTTTAGACCCTCCCTGGAATCTTCCGATGGCAACCCGGCTTTTTTTTCACGGGAATGCCAGAAAGTAGGCTGGTGGGTTTCACACACAAAAAAAAGAGAGTGGGTGGGTGGGTGGGAGGAAGGGAGGGAGGAGAGGCAGAGACTGTAACCCAACACCAAGTGGGTTATTCCAGGAATATCTGCCTTTCTACCAATCGATGGGAAGGCTCGGAAGAGAGCAGTGCGTGCACCACTCCCCTTCCAGTTCAGAGTTTCCTATTTCTTGAAACTGGCTGTAAACAGAGCCAGGGAGGAGCCACGGGATTGCTCTGCCAACAGAAGCAGAAACTTTGTGAGTAATTTACTAGAGGACAAACAAGTGCAGCTCACATGCGGGGGAAAAACACCCTGCCGGATCGCCCAGCCGGAGGGTCTAGGACGTTTGGTTCGCAGGAGCTACGGGGGGAAATAATAATAATAATCATGGGAGACCCCCTCGGCTGGGTCCCTTCTCCACCTGAAATGTTATTTATCAGCCATGTTTGACTCTGCAGTACAAAGGAACATGAGAACTGGACCAAAGGTAGGACTGGGGAAGATGTGGTGGGGGGGGAGAGAATGGATGTTTGTGGAGAGGGAGCAGAGCTAGCAGCCTTGGCCAAAGATTGTCAAAGCAAACAGAGGAAGGAGAGCTTGCAGGGGTGGGATGTGGGGCAGAGGCAGGAGTCTGCTTCAACATCCAGATGATTCTTTTGGGTGGGTGGGTGGGTGGGTGGGGAAGCAGATTCCCAGTAGGGTCCTCAGTGTCAAAGTGTGGGTTTCCACCTTGTAAGGTGGCTTCCTTTAAGGCAGGGGTGTCCAACCTTGGCCACTTTAAGACCTGTGGACTTTTAACTCCCAGAATTCCCCAGCCATCCACGGAGCAGGGGTGTCCAACCTTGGCCATTTTAAGACCTGTGGACCTCAACTCCTGGCTGGGGAATTCTGGGAGTTGAAGCCCACAGGTCTTAAAAGTGGCCAAGGTTGGGTACCCCTCTTCTAAAGTAACCTTCTCCGCTGTCTTCAACCGGAAACCATGGTTTGACTTGGGTGCTCTTGATGTACAAGCAAATCTTGCGTCTTTGGGAGGAGAAAAAGAGTTAAAACTCAACATATGTACCGGGGAGGCCGTAATACAGGGACTTTTTTTTTTTTTTAAAAAAAAATACATCTGAAAGAGCATTTGGTTCGATGTGGAACTGAAACAGGTTGCTTTCTCCAATGGTTCTCCTCCTTGAAATGAATAGGTCTCTAATGTAAAGGAAGGCATGTGCAGGGGGGGTGGCTGAACATGGAACGGAAGAGCATTGCTGAACATGATCTCTTTATCTTATTTATCTGTAATCCCACCTGTTTATTATTTTTACAAATAACTCAAGGAGGAGAACATATCCAACACACCTCCTATTTTCCCCACCACCATAACCACCCTGTGAGGTAGGCTGGGCTGAGAGAGAGAGAGCGACTGGCCCAAAGTCAGCCAGCCGGCTTTCATGGCTAGGGCAGGACTTGAACTCAAGGTCTCCCGCTTTCTAGTCTGGTGCTTTTACTACTATACCAAACTGGCTGGCTGTGACGTTCTACAGAAGCCAACAATGTTGGGTGTCCCTCTAGTGCTTTATGGGGGAAAAGTTGGTCAAAGGTAACATCCTTTAGGACGGTTACCAGGCTGGGGAGCTAGTCCTCAAGAATGGATGGATGTTGAGCTCCTGAACTTCAGAAGGCAAAGAGAAGTTAGCAATTGGTAGCATAACGAGAAACCAAGACGCAGTGACCCCAACAATTATTACTATCCTGTTTTCTTCAACAGTAATATCCCCACTCTGAAAGACGCTTTTGTTAAACCAGCATCTCCAAGGATAGAATCATAGAATCACAGGATTGGGAGGGACCTTGGAGATCTTCTAGTCCAATCCCCCCAGTCTACGGCAAGAGACCTTATATCATCCTGGACAAATGGTGGCCCAATCCTTTCTTGAAAGCTTCCAGCAATGGTGCTGCTTGACTACAACTCCCAGCGTTCCCAGCCAGTCGGCCACCGGCCAGGTCGACTGAGAATTCATGGTGTTGCAAAACATCTGAAGGGCGTCCTGTCGGAGAAGATCAGGCCATCACCTAAGGGCTAGGAAGGTTCCCCAGATTTACCAAGGAGTTATCTCCAGTTGGGTTAAAAGGGAGGGCGAATCACACAGAGAGGTCTGGTTATTTTGGAAAAAGTCTGAAGTGCCTCTTTGGAACATTACATTTTATTTTAATGGCGTTCTGTTTTGTTTTTAAAGGAAGTGCATTTGCGTCCGCGGCTCTAGATTCGGGAGAGATGTTATCTCAAAGTCATAATGTTAATCCTTCAGTTTAATAACAGAAATCATGGTGCGCATGCCTTGACAATAAGTTACGAGGAAAGCAATTATAAAAACATTAATTTTGGCACTCTTTGGAGGAAGAAAACGTCTTATAGGAGGAAGGCAAGTTCTTAGAAATTACTTGGCATGTTTATTTCAGAGAAGGACCCCGGGGTGCTCTTCCTGACCTGTTCGGAGAAGGGCTGAATGAAAGACAAACAAGAAGCCATGTGCTTTCAGCTGCGCAGACGGTGCGATGTTGAGCCTAGGCCAGGTTTTGTAGCAACACACCAACCCAGCCCTTGGCACCTCAGTTGAACTCTTCTCCAGTTGCAGCCGAACGTCTAACCGGAATCACAATAGAGCTGGGAGCTTGGAGGTCTTCTAGTCCAGCCCCCTGCTCAAGCAGGAGACCCTATACCATTTCAGACAAGTGGCTGTCCAGTCTCTTCTTAAGCCTTGACTCAGATTAAATCTATCAGGGTCACTAAGACTGCAATTTCCATTGGGCTGTAGGGCGGAAGGAAACAAGGGGCTGCCCCAAAGAAGAAGAGGGAGTCAAGCTCTTCTCCAAAGCCCTTGAAGGCAGGACAAGAAGCAACGGATGGAAACCTATCAAGGAGAGAAGCAACCTGGAACTAAGGAGAAATTTCCTGAAGGCAGGACAAGAAGCAATGGATGGAAACCTATCAAGGAGAGAAGCAACCTGGAACTAAGGAGAAATTTCCTGACAGTGAGAACAATTAACCAGTGGAACTCCTTGCCTCCAGAAGTTGTGGGTGCTTCATCACTGGAGGCTTTCAAGAGGAGACTGCACAGCCATTTGTTCAGAATTGTATAGGGTCTCCCGCTTGAGCAAGGGGTTGGATTAGAAGACCTCCACGGTCACTTTCAACTCTGGTATTCCCTATCTTAACCTGGTCCTTAATCATATTTTTCATTTCAGGGGGTTACCCTTTCATTACGATGACTGTATTTTGTGGGGGGTGTTCCTAAATTATGTATATATGAAAGCCTCCTTGAACCATGCAGGGATGCAATCAAAATTGTGGAAGAAGGAATTCAAGGAGAAAGTCCTTCTTTTTAGATGTCCTTCACAAGTGGCCAAGGTCTTTGTCTTCCACATGAAAATGGCCAGACCTAGGGAGATTGACTCAAGTGGTGAAGCCAAAATCTCCCCCATACAAGAATGAATTTTGGGAAGGATCTGCAAACATGTGGAATAATGTGGATGTTCTGGCAGATAAAATGTGTCTAAAAATAGGAAAAACTGAAGGTCATCTCTGCAAAATACTGGAAAGCAATTAAGAGCACAGGACTTCTTGATTCAATCCTATCCTATCCTATTAATAACCGGAACATGCCTGTATAAAAAGCTGCCTTTAAGGCTGTACTACATTACTGGGAAAAACACATGTCTTGCGAGGAATGTTGCCTCAATTTACCAAGACAAATAATACTTAAGTTTTTACAGAGAGTTTTCAGAAAGGAACACAATCTACTTTTTATTTTACTTTGCAAAGATGGATTAGAATAATACAGCCTTTGTAAGGGTTAGAAACAGAACGAGAGAGAGAGAACTGCCTTAAACCAAAAGTAACACAAAGTACCTAATAATTAAGTGTATTAATAATTAACCCGTTAGAATCACAAGATCTCTACTGATTTTTTTTTAGACATAGACATTGAGTGTGAATCTATGAAACCCATGTTCTTGAGCAGGGGTCTCCTAACTTGGCAACTTTAAGACTTGTGGACTTCAACTCCCAGAATTCCCCAGCCAGTCTATACTATAGAGCAGGGGTAGTCAACCTTGGCTCTTTTATGACTCGTGGACTTCAAGTCCCAGAATTCCTGAGCCAGCTAAGCTAAGCTGGCTCAGGAATTCTGGGAATTGAAGTCCACGAGTCATAAAAGAGCCAAGGTTGACTACCCCTGCATAGAGCTTCTCAAGTCATCCAGGTCATGATTGTCCCAAAGGCGCTTTTTCAAGAGGCAACTGGACTTTCTTTGTTTTTCCTTGAAGACATTTCACTTCTCGTCAAGAAGCTTCTTCAGTTCTGGGAGTTGAAGTCCACAAGTCTTAAAGTTGCCAAGTTCGGAGCGCCCCGGGGCTTGAGGAACCCCAACTGAATAATTCCATAACTGAGCTTTCTGTTATCCCATAATACAACTCAGAGCTGGTCAAATTCGGCAGTTCGTGGGGCAAATGTGGAAGACGTTTGATTTTTGTCTTCTCAAAAGAAGCGTGTTGACATTCTTTCTTTTCTCTTCTCCTGTAGAAAAGCTGGTAACCAGCCGAGAAGGGTCCTCCTCATCTCGGGAACGTCATTATGTGGAGCTGTGAAGCACTCAATGGTTCCAAAAACACTGAGGACCAGAATCTGTGCCATGATTTTCATCTGGTGATTTCCATTTTGTCTCTGCTCTACCTCGTCATCTGTTTCCCCATCGGGCTTTGCTACAATGGGCTCCTGGTTCTGGTCAACCTGTGCAACAAGGCTACCATGACGATGCCGGACGTCTACTTCGTCAACATCGCCATTGCTGGCCTCATCATCAACGCCATCGCCCCCATGTACCTGCTGGGACCCACCAGCACCAAATGGGCCCTCTGGAATTTCAACAACGAAGTCTACATCACCTTGCTGATTTTATTCAACGTCTCCTCCTTGGTGATCATGTACTCCATCGCCTTACTCAGCCTGGACTACTACATTGAACGGGCTCTGCCGAGGACTTACATGTCCAGTGTGTACAACACCAAGCACGTGTGCGGCTTCATCTGGGGAGGGGCCATGCTGACCAGCTTCTCCTCTCTCTTGTTCTACATCTGCAACCACGTCTCCACGAAAATTATCGAGTGCTCCAAAATGCAGAACAAGGAAGCCGCGGACGCCATCATGGTTTTCATCGGTTACATCGTGCCGGCCGTCGCCGTGCTCTACGCGCTCGTGCTGATCTTGCGAATACGCAAGGAGGCCACACCGCTGGACCAAGACACTGGAAGACTGGACCCCTCCGTGCAGAGGCTTCTGATTGCCGCCGTTTGCACCCAGTTCACCCTGTGGACACCCTACTACGGGACCCTGCTGGTGAGCACGCTGGCCGCCCTGCAAGGCAAAGGGGTGGAGGACAGCTACAGCCGGGGATTGTATTTTACGAAGGGGCTCTCCAAATTCCTGGCTTTTTCCAGCAGTGTCGTCCTGCCTCTGCTGTACCGGTATCTCAGCAAAAACTTCCCAGGCAAACTGCAAAGGCTGCTAAAAAAGCTGCACTGCGGGAATCAGCCGTGTTCGCACGAACGCACAGAGGTCCAGCAGGTCGTCACGTAGGTATGAAGGAATGCCGGTGGGCGCCAGGTTGCCGAGCTGAGTCTGGAGGCCGCTGAGCCAGGGTGCTGGAAAGGGTGGGCCCACGTCGGCGCCTCGCCGTTTTAGCCTACCCAGGTAGTGACTCTGCGGAGAGAAAACTGTTGAGAATCTTGTCTGGGGGTTAAAAAATCGTAGTTTGATTTCACGAGTTTTGATGCACTGAGTCGGTTTTGCAGGATAAGCTTTGTTTTAGCAATCTTGTGTGAAGAAAAAAAACAACAACACCCGCAGCAGGCTTTTTGACCGAACACCTAGCACTTTGTAATCTTGTAGAATTGTGTTTTTTTTTAAAAAAAGAGAGGTATTTTTATGTTTTCGTATAAAATAATATGAATTTTAAATTTACAAAGCAGTTTTAAGTCAAAGGCCAGAGTGGCACCTTTTCAGTTACGATAATATCTATTAATAATCGCGCTGGTCAAATTGCGTCACAGCCTAGTACGATACTAAATTTTTCCTAATGTACAGAGTTATGATTTAAACGAAATCTTTACTTCTAACTCTAAAGCAGGTGGTTTGAAGATGTCTCTTTGAATGCCTCTGTTTCTTTCTCCATTCAGGAGTGAACAAAAAAGGGGCATTTCAATCGAACAAAAGGATATAATTTTGTAGAAATCATAGGATGTTGCTCTATCTAGTAAAATGAAGGACAGTTTAAATCGAAGTCAAGCTTAAGATGCAAACGAAAAATCCAAAAGGGCACCCAATGAATCACTCACAAACATCCCTTAGGATGTACAGCATTCTTTTCATGGCTGAATTTAAAAGCATTAAAAGTATTAAAATTAAAAGTATTATCACTCAAAGAATGTTCGCGAGATATTAATGGATCAAAGGGATGGAAGGGATAACACAATGGTGTGAGTACGCAACTTAGAGGAGATTCACAGGGAACAACAAGGATTTCTTATAATTCTGGCCCTAGTTTTTATGCTGCTTTGGATTCTAGTTCTGTCCCTGACTCAGTCGTGCCATATCTTTTCCGTCCCTTTGGTTGGACCTAACAACAAGCTAGCATGAAGAAGTAGTCTAGGATAGGCTACTAAAAGCCATATATACCGTGTCATAAGGACAACGTTTTGAATCTGCTCCACTATTACCACCAGGAAAGGTGCCCAAGAGGTTGGAAGATCCCCCAGGTCAGTACATCCTAGAACAAGGTCTGGAAAAAGGGAGGAGGAACATCTCTAGATGTTCAGATGGCCTCCAACACAGGTTTTCTCCTTGGTTAGTCCCCATCCATTGCTTCTTGTCCTGCCCTCAGATGCTTTGGAGGATAGGTTGACCTCCTGTTCTTTGTGGCAGCCCCTCAAATATTGGAATATATTCCCCATGCTCCTCGTCTGAAAGAGATTGTGAGAGCTGAAGACCCAACTCCATTGGAGGCCACCAAATTGTGGAGAAAGAGTAAACAATATATGGAGCGGTTTCGCTTCTTCAGAGGCGAGATCAGAAATTTTTGGATTACAGAACTGGTAGGCTGCTATGCTTTTACCGAGCTGTCATACAATCATACAATTTTGTCTGCTCCAACCTGACGTTTTGCTGGGACCCAGTGCCAGCTTCTCAGAGACGTAGGCTTGTAGAACAAATAGCTGAGTCTTCTCCAAGAGGCCTTGAGGGTTGATTCGGGAGGTTATCGGAGTTAAGACACTAATTTAGCCTAGGGAGTTACCACAAAGACTAATTTAGTGGAGGGAGTTACCAAGATTTTCCGCAGGTAAGGAAGAGAACAATAGACCTTGTGTTTGCCGGTCTTAGCTGAAGTCTGATTACTCTTACGTTGCTTGGTCGTCAAGCTCAGACAACGTCTAGGTCCAGCTCCTAACTGGGTAAAGAGATTCCCACAACTCTAGGTTGGGAACTGGGTCTTTGTCACAGATTTCATCTAGCAAGACCTTTTTTTTTTTAAATGAAAAAGGCTGAGTACCTTACTTTAACCGCACATATAAGAAAGTGCTATAAAGTCTCCTGCTGTTTTATATGCATGTAATTGGGTAATATCTGCCAAACTAATTGTGAAAGGTGTTTATAAGTGCTAGGATGTGGGGCTGACAACTCTTTAGGGCAGCGTATCTCCACCTTGTCAACTTGAAGATGTGTGGACTTCAACTCCCAGAATTGTCAACTTGAAGATGTGTGGACTTCAATTCCCAGAATGCTGGCTGGGGAATTCTAGGAGTTGAAGTCCACACATGTTCAAGTTGACAAAGTGGGACTTTCTTTTTCTGAAGCTATGCATTACTAGGTCAAAGGACAATTGTAAAAAAAAAAAAACAGGAGCCAAAATGCCTTATGTAACTACATCTCCACATCACTAATATCCTGTATCGGAAGCCACTTCGGTTCAAAACATTTGCATATTTCTCCCCAAATCTTACTCACTGCTAATATCCTAGAGCCGTGCCTTTTCCCACTAAAACTGAGTCAGCATTACAGGGAAAAAAGAAAAAAATTCTAGTATGCAGCTAATTCTTAGCTGGTTTCCAGACAATGTTCCACAAAACCTCTAACGTTTATTCTTAGATCTCGAACGCTATCAGTTTCAAACAACTGCGTTCACTTTCGTAAACTTGGAATTAGGAGTATTTTCCAGAGCAGAATTTTGAGTGCGTTCCAAAGAGGGCAATTTTTGTACAATCGGCAAGAGATGCGATCAGAGGGAGGAGAGAGAGAAAATTGGAGGGGGGATAAGATTTGAAATCTGTTCTCGTAGGAACTTTTAGCACACATTTCTGCTGAAGCCTCTGAAAGATTCCAGCTATTTTTGTAAACAAAAAAGTGTTTACCATTACTCGCCGAACACATGAAACAGTCTACTGATGTAAAAAAAAAGAGCATTTAAAAGAATTTATTAAATTATTTCCTAAGATTCAGATTTTATCACAGTTGAAGAATAAACTTCTCTAGCTCAGTGAAAAGTACTGTATCTGGTCATACATAACAGAAATTCAGCATAAAATGAATTTTGTGCTGCTTTTAACAGTGTTATTTGAGAATAGTATTTTGTTTTTGGTTTTTTTTTTAAAAAAAAAAGATTTATGATTTGTAGGTCTCCTTTTAACCGGGGAGGCAGTTATGTCAAATCAATAAAACGGATAAATTGTTTACTTCAGAGTCATCTTTGTCATTATTCCTCTCGATTTGACCATTTCAAGTGTTGCTTGGTCTTCCTGGATTTGAGTACAGCCTGTCCTTGATTTACAGCCACAATTGAGTGCAGAATTTGTGTTGCTAACCGAGAAAGTTATTAAAGTGAGCTTTGACCCGTTTTGCGATCACTAAACTGAGGGCAGGTGGCCCCTGGCGGGCGCAGAATGAATCCCACGTGACAAAAAGCATCTACAAAAGGGAACTAAAGCAAGATGGAGTGACGACCTCAGCAAATATGGCGGCCCCAACTGGCGAAACGCTACGGGTTGAAAACAAAACTTCATCCTGCAGTGGACGGACAAGGGCGAGGTTGATGAGGATGAGGATGTAATAAACGTTCAAATGAGTTTGGAAAGGAATTGCAGCCAGGGAAGATTAGCCCTGATGAGCATAGCTCAGGGTTTATTTTTCCATAAATCCAACCTTTGTGTTTCCTGCTGGAAATTAGGACTCTGTTATCGCAAGATTTCCACACGGAACAGCACGGGCTTCATTGAGTATAAACATCCTGAGTACCAGATTTTATTTTTTATTTTTTTAAAAAAGCACATATTCCCTGTTATGCATTCAATTCCAGGAAGAGCACCTACAAAAGCGGATATTCACACACACACACACACACACACACACAAACACAGAAATAGCATCCCATCAGAGTTCCATTTTCAGGAATTTCGTGTAACAAGCCAAAACATCAAGCCAAGATTGATTTGGGTCATTTTTAATTAATGGGAACCTGACAAAACCACAATTCCTGCTTCTATCTCGTTGTGCAGTGAGACAAACTGTGTTCAGCTAAAAAACAAAACAAAAATCGTTTGCTTCTATTTGCTCACAAAGGAGAAAAGAAGTTGAGAGACCCAGAGATTCATTGCAGCCTGATCACCATCATCCAAAGCAGCGTTGGCTGGGGATGATGGGATCTGTCATTCAGAACTCCAGGGCCCCTTGCAGAAGATTTTGTCCTCCAGACAGTCTCAGCTAGGAAGCTAATGCAGGGAGGATGGAAAGAACTAAGCTGCAAACCGTATTTATTTATTCCTCTCCAGGAAAACAGAGCAATTTTTTCCCCGTTTTTGCCAAAGCTTTTCAGAGTTCAAAGAGTTTAGTTCTCCCGAAGCGCCCCCTTGTGGTTAACCGGTGCCCCCTTGTGGTTAATGCAAGGCAACGCCACTGCCTTTATTCTACAATCATCCCCAAAGTTAACTGGCGTTTGCTGAGCTGGCCAGCTTAGCCCGGGCATGGCTCAGACAAGCAGAAAAGCTCATTTTCCAGCAGCAAAACATCAGGGACAGACTGCTGAACAGGACACTTTTTATGGCAGAGAACACAGAGGAGGGAAAGCACGGCTTATAGGAGATTTTTTTTTTTTTAGCTAAAGAAAAAGGTTTAACCAGTGAATCTGAATAAGTTTGAAGCTCTCTTAGGTTGCACCAAGATCAGAAGTCGAGCATCACTTAAAGGCAAATGGGGAATCCGGTCAGATTTTAGCCTATTTCCCTTCAACCGATTTGCCCTTGTGTGTCTCTGCAAACTGGCTCTACCCTTTTGCGCAGAAACAAAAGAGGAAGGCAGAATCAGAGACTTGAGAATTGCAAAAAGGGTCCATCAACCCCTTTTTGAACAGCCTCGGGAGCCTCCGAAGCTGGAGCTCTCCACCAAGAGAAGAAGATCAGGGTTTGTTAGACAGGCACCCAAAAGGTCAAGCCACTGGTGTAGCCAGAATTTAGTTTGTAGGCTAGGTGACTGTGATAAAACACAGAATAACAGAGTTGGAGGGACCTTGGGGGTCTTCTAATCCGACCCCTTGTTCAAGCAGGAGACCCTATACCATTCCAGACAATCTTTCTTGAAAACCTCCAATGATGAAGCACCCACAGGTTCTGGAGGCAGGTCGTTCCACTGGTTAATTGTTAAATTTCTCCTTAGTTCTAGGCTGGTT